TTTTTTTTTTTTGGAATTGTATTTTCTAAGTGTTAAAGCTAGGACATAGAAATATTATTACTGATTGTATATGACCATTGATTAATATTTTACGGTTAACTGAAAGAGTTGAGAAAATTTTGGGATGCAGTGATTTTAAAGTTTGAGCTGAGATGTTAACTGAAGGCAGCTCTATGCTTGACTAACAATATGAATCTGCTGAGACCATGCTGTATAACTGTCTAATTCTATGTCTAATTAAATAAATAAGGAGTCAATTATCTGTAAAAGGTGGTAAGTAATTTAAAGACAGCTTCTTGTGTAGTTGCATCCTCTATTAGACCTCCTCTTCTATAATATCCACCCACTGTCACTGAGTCAATTCCAACTCAGACAGAACATATAGGACAGAGTGGAACTGCCCCCATACAGTTTCCAATGTTGTAAAGCTTTATAGACAAGCACAGAATAACCCCAAAAACCAAATGCACTGCTATCGAGTTGGATCCAACTCATAGTGACCCCTCCTTGGGTTTCTGAGACAGTGTCACTACAGAATGGATATTCTAAATTAAGAGTTGATTCTACTAGTTTTTTTTTATCATTCTGATTTGTTGATTATTTCAGCTCATTTAACTGTATAGCCTGTATCTACATAATAGCATACAAAAGGAAATAGATATCTGGTCTGATGACATGAGCTCAGACCCTACTGTGAGCTCTGGAATTATGCATGAAAGATTATCAGATTAACTGGATGTTACTAAAATACATACCAGAAGAGGGCAGCACCACCAAGGCCCCCAATAGTCACATCAGTCAGACCATCACCATTTAAATCCATTTCTCCATGGATAGATTGGCCAAAAAATTTCAGTGTCTTGCCATCTCCACCCGATGGAATACGCTGTGAAAATCACAACAGAGACCATTATTTATGTTGGAAGATCCTGTTCACAACAGTTTTAAATAAATCTGGAAACTTGAATTGGTTAATAAAAATGAAAATTAAAGATCTGCTGGAAACTTGTCTATGAGGCTCCTTGTAGAGATAAGAGACATTCCCAAAGGATATTGTTGTCTTTGTAGGACAAACAAAATCATTTCAAGATTTTTTACACCTGAGAGAACTGGGCGGAGGGAAGCAATTACATAATGTCATCTTGTCTAATACTCCAGGAAAACTGAAAAATTGTCTCTGCTTTCTTGATTCTGTTCAGTCCTATTACACAAATATATATAAAGGTACTGGAAACCTTAAAAACCTATACAACCAACTGGGGGAGTAGGAGATTGTCCTGGTGGTCAATTTGGGGTTCACTGAACTCTGGGACTAGGTATAAACAAAACATTCTTTTAAATATATTTCCCAATACTCCATATTCTTAAATGTACTGTCAAAACTTGTCTTCAAAATCAAGGGCATAATAGATTTACATGTGATCACCATGTTTGGAAGGCACAAATGAAAATGGAGTTCTTGAATTCTAGTAAGTGCCCATTACCATACATGATATGTTTAATATCTTTTCTTCCTGGTTTGCTTTGGTTCAAACTGATAAGAATAGAACCTGATGGCCAGGAGAGAAGACTGAAGACCCTCCCTACACTTGAAGTTTTCTCATCCTCTTATTTTGCATTTAAGATCATGAAATAAGAAACTAAGTAAGTCACAATGAATGGAAAAATTTTACATGTCCAGTTTTTTTGTGACTCATTAAAAAGTATTTCCTTATTTGCAGCAAATAAACCAGGAGATGCTTGTCTCGTTGTTTCTAGAGGAGTTGATTCAATTTGATTCTGGATCAACATTTTTACAAACAGTACCTCTGGTAACTATGGCAACAGGTGAGCACATCTTTGCCAGTTGTTGAGAAAGTAACAGTTGTGATAATTAAACAAATCCAACTTAAATATTCCTTTTCTAGCTTAAAGTTGTACCTTGATTTACAACCATTTTTCAAATAAATTGCTTGTGACAATCTAATCCAATAATGGTTAAAATAATCCTCCCTTTTCTACTTCTAAATGTGCACTATTATATTTGCAGAATTAATATGGGGGAAATCAAGTGGTAGAACAAGGAAACCCCATCATGACTTTCCTGATGCCATTATGGCTTATTTTTCCATTAAGTAAATAATGTCAGCAGGACCTTAACAGAAACAAATTATTTCTTAAATGGATAGAAGTGTTGTTATTAAACTACTATGAATGTTACAACTTCATGAAAAATTAAACACAACTTTTCAATGCATAAGTAGATTTTGAGAAGTGTGTTGACTACAGAACCAAAGAGAATAGTCAAATATAAAAACAAATAATTGATTTGCTGATTTATTTTGATATTATTATTGTTAGGTGCCACTGAGTCAGCTCCCACTCTTAGCAACCCTGTGTACAACAGAATGAAACACTCCCAGTCCTGTGCCAGCCTCTCAATCCTTGCTACACTTGACTGTTGCAGCTACTGTGCCAACCCATTTCCTTGAGGGTCTTTCCCATTTTTGCTGACCCTCTGAACTACCAGGCATGATATCCTTCTCCAGGGACTCACTCGTCCCTTCTGACATGGTTCAAACTGATAACAATAGAATCTGATGGCCAGGAGAGAAGACTGACAGACTCTCCTTACACTTGAAGTCTTCTCATCTCTTATTTTGCATTTAAGATCATGAAATAAGAAATAAAGTAAGTCAATGGCATGACCAAAGTAGGTGAGAGGAAGTATAAGCTGGATAAGAGTGAATTTTATGTTGTAAGTAGTTGCTTGATCCTTAACATCTATTTTTCACAAAAAAAA